CTGACATATATAGGACACCCATGCTGGCTCTGCAACTTAGTTATTTTACTAGCTCACTGCTTCAGGTGCTAAACAGCAATGAGGAAGGACTTGGCTACCAGCTGAAAACAAAATGTATCACAAGTGTGGCTATCTTATTTTTGTGATCCTGAATAAAACAGGGAAATAGGGAGGTGCCTTACTGTGCTTGGCCCAAGGGTAACCCGAGAACCATGGTCCAGGTCCGGTCCAGAATCCGTAGGTTCCACTAGGAGTCAGTCTGACAGGGTCAAGGCAGGAAACCAGGCAAGGACAGGTACAGGATCTCAGGCAAGGCCTGGCATACAGCAGTGTTGCTCCCGCAACCTGGGGCGGGGTCTGACAGCCTTTTATGTTTGTCAGGGTAATGGCTGGTCCTGATCCCCCGATGACTCACCTCCCTGTTTCGCCCGGAGGCAAGCACTTCTCCTGCGAGTACTCAGCTCTCCCCTTCTCTCAGACCTTAGTCTCTGCAGCTTGGGAGACGTCAGTGGGCTACTAGACCCAGGGGCTGCCTCAGCCTTCCCTGACCAAACTGGTAATGGAGCAGCTGTAAGTGATGGCCCAGCTGAAGGCAACAAGGTAATCCCTGCATCTGGAGCCAGGGCAGGCTCAGGCCCCTGACTCGGCCCAGCTGGGGTTTGTTGCAGGGAATCCTGTGCAGACTGGAATTCTTCAGGACCAGGCCCCAGACTTGGTTCAGATGATGCCTGAGGCAAAGGATCCAGTGCAGACTGAGACTCCTCTGGTTCTGAGTCCGAGCCCGAGTCCCAGGCCATCACACTTACACTGAGTCAGACTAAGTCCATGTAGTACAGTACAGTCGTACCTTGGTTTTTGAACAGCTTAGTTCTTGAACATTTTGGCTCCCAAACACTGCAACCCCGGAAGTGACTGTTCCGGTTTGCAAACTATTTTTGGAAGCCGAACATCCAACAGGACTTCTGCGGCTTCCAATTGGCTGCAGGAGCTTTCGAACGTTTTGGAAGTCAAACAGACTTCCAGAACGGATTCCGTTCGACTTCCAAGGTACAACTATTGTCTACATGGCTTGGCAGTGGCTCTTCAGGGTTTCGGGCAGGATAGCCTCCTAAGGCCTGGGACCTTCCAAATGCTCTATCACTGAGCTACAATACCACAGGAAGACTATAAGCCCAGAGTGAACTATAAGCTTATAGTGAAAGCCGCCCAGAGTGGCTGGGGAAACTCAGCCAGATGGGTGGGGTAGAAATAATAAATTATTATTATTATTATTATTATTATTATTATTATTATTATATTAATGTGACACCAAAACAGAGAAAGTCCATCTAGCTCCTTATTGTCTACACTGATCAGTGGCACCTCTTCAGGCAGGAAAGTTTCTCAGTCTGACCTGGAGATTCCAGGGATTGAACCTATGACCCTCTACATGCACTGCCACTTTGCTACAGCCCTTCTCCAATAAAGGTCATGTTTCTGGTGCATCTTCTTTTGGGTATTTTCCTATTGGTGGTCCACTTCTGTCAGAATCCATCTCAAAGTGCTTACAGAGCAGTCTCACACGGATCTACTCAGAAATAATCCCCACTGAGTTCACTGTGGCTTGCTTAGAAGCATAGAATCTTACAGTTGAAAGGGACCCTGAGGGTCATTGAGTCTAACCCCCAACAATGCAGGAATCTCATCAATGACAGAGGGATTAAAAACCTCCAATGCAGAGGAGTCCACAGCCTGCTGAGGAAGTCTGTTCCACTGTTGAACAGCTCATACTGAAGACAGCCCGGTATAGGGAAGTTTTAAATGGTTTATTATGTTTCTGTATATGCTGAAAGCCGCTCAGAGTGACTGAGGCAACCCAGTCAGATGGGTGGGGCACAAATGTTGTTGTTGTTGTCGTTGTCAGAATATTCTTCCCAGGTAAGTGACTACAGGAATGTAGTGAAGAAGAAGAAATGAGATTGATTAGAAATTCAATCATCTTGGACAATCCTGTCGAAGTCCATCCTATTTTCCCATTTCTCCCCTCAAAAAAGTTCAACTAGAAGTGGCCTTAAATGTGAGGCTGCAGTGAGCAGTGAGAGTGCCCTTTTTTGTAGTGTAAACAGCAGCAGGTTCAAAGGGGCTGGATGAGTTAAAGTTTAATCCTTGCCTTCCACTGGAGTCCCAGCCAAAATTGCCACACAAAGTTGTTGTTTGTATTGGGAAGGAGCCTCCTCCCCCCCCCCATGCCCACGCCAGGCTTACCTCCTTATGCAAACATCAGTTTCAGGCAAGTGATTTCCAGCGGAAGGACTGTAGTGGGTGGGGTGAGAGAGTTGAAGCTTAACCATTAAAGGAGGTAGAGAAGGAGTCTTTAATGCCCTCCCCACCCCACCCCAAAGCCTACTCGCTTGTAAAATGCTTGCACATAATTAACGCCACATCCAGTTTGGTCCTATGTCTAATTATTCAGCCTACCACATGCGGTCTCCTGGCAGCATATTTCAAATGGGTGAATTTAGGCTCCCAAAGATCTGCCTTCACTGGCAGATTCCAGAGGGTTTCTGGTTTATTTCTCCCCCCCCCCCCCAATTTATTACTTTATCATGGATTCCCAGTAGCCAATGCTGAATTCATTTGGAAATGTAAGAAGAAACACCTTTAAGCAAGAGTACCGCTTGCTGGAGCACAGATTCATAGAGCTGCCCTTTCCTCAGGTGTTATATATCAGCTAGTAGGTGCGAAATGTCAGCATTGATATGAAAGGGACTTGTAATTTGTCTTGAAAATGAAATGCCGAAAAGTTTGTACATGACCTCATTTTGAACAGATGGAAAGAGTAGCTCAGTTGGGGAGATTTGGAGCCATACAAGCCAAAAACATGGTTGTAGGACAGCAACAATGCAGTATGTGACCCACCATAATCTTGGGTGCTATTTTTTTTTTGACACTGGAGAATTCTATGAGCAGAGCGATCCCAAGATGGGGAGGTCTATTTAGCAAGGCTCTGCCCAACTGGGATAGACCTTTGGAAGGATATTACTTGCATAACCTAACCCCTCAAATAGTCAACATTCTAAGACTGCTCTATTAGAGCACCCTGCTGCAGAACTTGCTCCTAGGAGAGTGTTTTGAATTCCTCCCTTAGAGTCCTCTTCTGAAGAAAATGACATGTTTCAAAGTGAAAGTATAATTAAGGTTTCTATGTTGTAAACTAAATCTGCCCTTTTTCCCTTATGAGGTATCTAAGAGCCCATATAGAGTCCTTATGTAGGTTCCTATTGGTAGGAGAAAATAACAGAGGCCAACCAGAGAATATTGACAAGCAAAGCAGCTAGTAAGCCTGATCTTTATTGATCTGTTGCAACAGGGTGCTCCCTCACACGCAGGAAAGGAGGAGGAACCCCGAACAACGGTGTGTCTGCCCTTATATAGACATTTTAAATTCCCTGCCCTGGAGCTCAAGACCACTGCTCCATACATCATACATACATCACAGAAGGGGTTTAACCTAAGACCACCCCCCAGATAAATCATCTGAAATCTGAGTGTGTTGTTTATCTCGTCTGACAGGTTACCTGTTAATGCTTACTTGATTGGATACCCTGGGGAGTCTGGCTAGTCTTTTGTAATGATAAATACTTAGTTCCTGAGCCAGGTCACAGGCTCACCCTATTCATACACAGACATACCCTTAAGACAGGATTTGTGAAGGAAAAGACAATGGGGAGGCTTTTCCATTTTCCTTTGACCTTGCAGAGAAAACATTTGGTCAGTTTGGGAGCCAAAAATGGTTTCATGTCGGTCTTACTGTGCTGATCTATATACGTGCTTGGTTGGTACATTTATGAACATTTATTATATATCTAAGACCTTAAATTCTTATCACATCAATTAGAAGAATCTAACTGATATGTGACTTGTAGGGTAGCCTCTTGAAGGCTTCCAGTCTTAGGAAAAGGTATATGGAGCTAGTTAACTTCTTCAGCACATAAACTTACTGACCTGTATTTTTTTTCTATATTTAGTTTTATTTTTTGTAGAGCGAATACATGTGAAACTTTGTCTATCATGTATTACACTTTGTTTTTTTGAGTTTGAGTTTGAAAGTATTTGTGTATTTTGTCTTGATATGGTGTGCAAACAATATCAATGAATTCCATTTATTCACAGAACCTTTGGCTGACCTCCAGGATTCCATCCCTAACTCCCTCCTACAGTATTTCTTGCAGCCCACGCCTTGTGTGTGCCACATGCAATCTGTTACATGCCCCAACTGAAGCCACAAGAAAACAGAGAGGGTAGTGTTATAAGAATTCTAAGGTCTCAAATAGAGAATAAACATTCATAAATGTACGCGTATTGAAACCAATCTGATAGAACCATGTTTCTTAGCATTCTAGATAGAATTTAAGGCATCTTTGGGTGTTTGCCTGAACATTCAAATGCTCAAGGTGTGGAAAGAGACAGGTGTGCATATGCAAGCCCTATCCCAATGTCCCCATGCACACCACCCCAATGCTTAGCCCCTGACCTTTTTATTGCATAAGGAAGGTCTGCATGAGGCATCCAAAAGTATTCACTTGAACTTGAGTTGAGTCGTTTGCGTGATCCTGCTTTATGACGGTCCCCAGTTGTCCTCAGTTGTCTGGAGGGTCCTACTCACATCCCAATGAACATGAGTAGAAGCCCCATAAAATATGTCCCTGTGCAACATGGAAACATCAGGGAAAGCCCAGGTGAAAAGAACACACATGAGCTGTGATTGCAGGGGGTTTGGACTAGATGCTCATTTGGGTGCCCTCTCCTCTGACTCTACAATTCTATGATTCTATGAGGACATTGTGCATTGGGATTGTGTCTGCATCCCTGTCCACACTTGAAACACTTGTACGTTCAGATAAATGCCTGAACATGCATTTCCTAAATATGCACACCTTTCCTAACCGAAATTACTCTGCTTGGGGTTAACCTTGACTGTTACAGATTGGGTTTGGTTAGCTTTCGGTATTTATATGGAAGCTCTGGTATAGCTCAATTGGTAGACCATAAGACTCCTAATCTCAGAGCTGTGGATTCGAGCCCCATGTTGGGCAGAAGATTCCTGCATTGCAGGAGGTTGAACTAGGTGATCCTAGTGGTCCCTTCCAACTCTATAAATCTATGGTTCTATGATCTTATGGGTCTCTGGGTCCAATCCTCCAGTAAAGAGTCATGCGTTTCCTATTTTTCTTAGGAAATCAAGAATTCCACACCAAAAGTTCTCTAATTACTCTCAAGTGGATGCTACCTGAACTAAAAGGTAAAGGTAAAGGTACCCCTTCCCGTACGGGCCAGTCTTGACAGACTCTAGGGTTGTGCGCTCATCTCACTCTAGAGGCCAGGAGCCAGCGCTGTCCGCAGACACTTCCGGGTCACGTGGCCAGCGTGACGAAGCTGCTCCGGTGAACCGGCACCAGAGCAGCACACGGAAACACCGTTTACCTTCCCGCTATAAAGCGGTACCTATTTATCTACTTGCACTTAAGGGTGCTTTCGAACTGCTAGGTGGGCAGGAGCTGGGACCGAACGACGGGAGCTCACCCCGCCGCGGGGATTCGAACCGCCGACCATGCGATTGGGTTTTACCCACAGCGCCACCCTTGTAAAAAAATTAAGTTATACATTAGCCCAATAACTTCATCTCTTGTCACCTCTATTTGACTTAGATATTTTGGATACTGAATCCTGCTTGGCCTACCAGTCTGCCAAAATTGTGCGAGTTGCCTAACAAATGAAATCCCAAAATATTATTCTGCCCCAACATGGTTTTGGGGTGTCAGCCTCAGCTCTTCGCAGCCTGGCTCATTGGTAGATGCATGTGCATCTTTTGTTTTCATACTCTCTCTTCAATCCCATTTGTCCTCTCCCAAGAGGTCCCTACTGTTTCATCCGCTCCCCAGTCTAATAAGGAGAATTTTATTTTGTTTAACAGGAATCAATATGGGAGGGAAAGTGCTAAACAGTGAGTTGAACTGTGTATGCTTCATCTGTTGGAAAACAGGAAAAGAAGGATTACTCATAAGGATCTAAGATTTTACAACTGAATAAACGAAAACACCCGTTCTTTCTCAGTCTGACACTTAGCATCCAGCTAAGTCACTTCTCCATTCCAGTCTGAGAAAGGTCAAACAACAAGGTCCTTCACAGTTATTTAAACTATTGAGAGTATAAAGACAACACAGTTTGGAGAAAATATGCCAGGTTGCCATATGCCAAGGACCTGTGATCAAGCATTTCCTCCAATAAATTTTTCAGTGCTTCTGTAGCCTAAGAGTACATGCTGTTAGTGCCTTGAAATGGGAGGTGTTTGCCCAGTCTAACCTGGAAGAGCTGTAGTTCAGCAGTAGATGGGGCTGACCCTATCGTTAGGTAGACTGAGACAGTCACTTCAGGCAGTAAGAGAGGCAGTGGCAGCTGGGGTTGTCAGAGAATTATGTTGTAAATCAGGCTTCCTCAATGAAATATACTCGGAGTTGAGAGTGGATTTCATGCTCTTTATTCCGCTCATAGTGGTGAGGAGGAATGGAAGTTCCCCCAGAATGTCTGCTTTATATACATTATTTATACAATGGGCCCCACGTGATTGGCTAATTCTGGGATTCTCCTGTAGGCCAATCAGGTTGCAGATTCACTTCCACCTGGAGCTGGATTGAGTGGCTCCTATGGCCCAATCAGATTGCTGCATTCTGAATCCTATTGTTCTAGGACCAATCAGACTGCTGCATTTTGGATCCTATTCAACTGAGTACATAGCACTCAACTTCAGCCCTCCAGATGTTTTTGGCCTACAACTCCTATGATCCCTAGCTAGCAGGACCAGTGGTCAGGAATGATGGGAATTGTAGCCTCAAAACATCTGGAGGGCCGAGGTTGAGCCTGTTGTAAATAAATCCAAAAGCTGAAATTGCTGTGGTTTGCATATTCATCTATGGTCAGGAATCAGTCAAAGCAATACCCATCACAACATTGTTGTTACTGCTGTTGTTTTAAATAAAATCCTGCAAATTATACATAATGGCATTGTTTTTTAAATTGCTTTGACATTTCCTTTGCATTGTAATGGCTTTCTTCAGGGTTGAGTAGAAGAACTCGTGCATGCAGCCATCAAAGCAGGATTTAGCCCACCCACCAGCTGCTGCTGGGTCGGTTAAATCGTGCTTTCTGCAGGGCTGAGGTGCATCAGTAAGAATGGTTATGACAAAAATACAACAGGATTTAAAAAAGAGTAGACAGCAAGGCAAATAAGAAACCACTGTTAGCAGAAGCAGAACTGAAATGGAATGAAACAGCGCTGATTATGGTGAATATAGGTCAGAATGGAAATTGCTGCTTTTGTATATCCCTAGTGGCAGCTAGGGATGGATGGGCCCATTACAGTCCCAATTCTACATGGGGACAGTGCTAAGTAAGTCTCATCTCATTTCCATGCAGGTTTTGAAGAGAACATCCTTCAAATTCTGCATGGAAATGAATTAAACAGCAATACTTCTGAGGTAGTCCAAGTTCTGCAGTCCCAGCACTGTGCTCTATTCTACCCCTTTTACAAGCTTCAGACATCAACCTCCTGCTCACAGCTTAGAGTGGCTTGTTGCCACATGCTTTGAGCAAAATAGGGCAGGGTTCCCCAAACTTGGGTCTCCAGCTGTTTGGGGACTACAACTCACATCATCCCTAGCTAGGAGGACCAGTGGTTAGGGAGGATGGAAACTGTAGCCCAAAAAGAGCTGGACACCCAAGATTGGAAAACGCTGGACTACAGCTAGTCCTTCCTGGGAATGACAGCACCTCATGACATTTGGGGGACAGCAGCTGTCCCCAGCTCCAGACTGTGAGCATCTGGGTGACTCCTGGAGCTTTGTGAAGCATTTTGTTGTTGTGCATTAAATGGATAGAGGAAACACACTAGCCCTCCGACCACCTCATAGTGTGATCTGCAGGATTGCAGATTCTAAAGTGGACTATACAGTGGGCTCATGACTCAGTCCAGTTCTTGATCTGCCAGGCGTGAACTGGGTGAGTCCACTTTGAAATCCGAGTTCTGTGGATTCCTCCTCCTGCATCCCTTATGGCACAGATCTAGGGGCCGTTCCCATGCAGATATACATGGTGCCTAAACTAGCCTGCTGTCCTCTGGTGGGGTGGAGAATACTGTCCTACAAGATTCAGTTGCTAGGTTGGCCAGCTTCTGTACATTAAATAGGGGTGAGCAGGGCTCTGTTTGTTTTTCAGTGGGAACTCAATGGAACTCAGTTCCAGCACCTCTCAGGTGGGCACCATTGCCATTCTGAGAGAACAAGGGAGGCATTCATAGTGAGTTCTGGCACCTCTTTTTCTAGAAAAATAGCACTGGGGGCGAGGCACTATTTTGTCCATCACCTCAGGCAGCAAAATGTATTTGGCTGTTCCTGGCAATAGAATCATAGAACTGGGAGCACAGGCTCCACTTGCAAAGATCCCAGGCCTCTCCTGGAAAAGAGTTTGAAAGAACAAAGTTCTCTTATTTTCAGTAAGGGGGCTGTGATATAGGCATTGACTTCACAAAATTACTAGTGTCTGTCAGGAACTATACCAAACGGTATGTCTGCAGGGACCCATAGGACGGCTCACACCACCATGGTGTTGCTTTATCACATTTTCTTTTAAACACAGCTGGAGTAAACACTTTGCCTGCATCCTTAAAAATATATATATATATACGTCAATGCCTGCTTTTTGCCATATTAGCTTCTTTCATTTTCAAGTTGATAGGCCACTTTGTTCTTTTCCCTGCTGTCCAGAGGCCCTAGAAGATTTCATCTAACACAACCTTTCAAGCACTTTCACAGACCTTGGAGTTAGCCTGTCTCTCTCCCCCCCCCCCCACCTCCTTCTCCACACCACAGCCAGACATAGAAAGCAATTTGCCAACGGAGAAATGTATAACCCTGATGCGAGAGAGGAAGATTGGTATGGGCTGTCTTCCCCCCTCCCCCCCATGCCTTAAGATGCTTCTCTGCACATATGAGCATCATCAACATAATAAGCATAAAAAGCTCAGTTGGAATTTAATGTCAGGCAGTAATGTATTAATTAATATCATTGTTATATTTCTTGGATTAGAATATCCTCCCTACCCTGCCCTGGATAACCATATGAATAGTTATTTTTTCATATTCTGCAATTTGTTTATTTATTTATTTTGCAAAGGATGCATTATGCAAGGGAAACCAGATTGCCTGAAAGAGCTTATAAAGTGAATTTTCCCCTCAGAGAAAACTGCCAACATTCCTTGCAAGGAACAAGTGATGCAGAAGAAACCCAGAGCTTACTAAGAGAAAGGACACTCCTCTTTACCTCTTCATTTGGCTTTGCTTAATGTGAGTTTGCTGTCATTTTTAATCCACTGGGAATGGGGGAATCCAACAGAAATAAAACTTCTCATTTAAACTTTTCCATAGTTAAGGTTCTACTCTCATCAGTTTAATAGCTGAATCAAAATAGCTGGGCAACTAATATACATCCAAGCTACAAAAGTAGCTGCTAGCATTCAAAGAACCCTTTGTAGAATCCTGAAATGTTTTCTGAGGACAGTACTTACCCAGAAAGCAACCCAAAACCTCTCCAACCTCAGGAAATAGCAGTTGTCAACAAACTTGAATATTGCCATCCAAAAAAGCACTAAAAATAATACCTCAAAACCCAAAGGGAATTACTTAGCCTGGTACAGAATGACCTGTCAACCAAGCAATATAGTTGAATGTTTATTATGATGCACTTCTCTTGTGATGGCTGAAGGAAAATGCCAGGGGGGCGGAAATCTGCAGAGCCGGTTTAGTAGGCAAAATAGATAGCATACTCTGAATATGCTTATCTAGATCATGATAATGAGGTGACTGCAGAATAATCGCTTGAAACACATCCACATTTACCATTTACTCTTCACTTTCTAGGCACAAGTCCACGCTTTAAAGTGCTGCGTTTGAGTGCTTTTCTTTTTTTCTTTTTTTAACCTGGCAATTTCCCTGCAAAATCTCACTCTTTAATGCTGAATTGGAACAAACAGCAATTCAGTGGG